CTGCTGCTAGCTGGAACTGATAGTAAGGGCAGATGCTGAGGTTTCTGTCCGGGGAAGGTGGGTTTTCACGGTCTTACTCCAACATGCAACTCAGTTTCTGAAATCGCTTAGCCTGAGGCTTTGACCACCACTGCTCTTCTTTGTAGACTTCCCAGACTCTCCTCTGCCTTGCAGAAAAACAAGAGGCCATTGAGCCTGGGCACATGGAGGGGAGCAAAACAGCTTCTCACAACTGTGGTGTGGTACTGTCATATTGCTCCTTAGAATGTCATATTGCTCCTTGTATGTAAATATCTTGGAGACTGGCTAGCTCATCTAGGGGATGAGATGTACATGAAGGCATTCTGAAAATGGTTGAGTTACCCAGAAGGGTCCAGTGTTCCTTAAAGACCAAGGGATGGATTACCCCAAGGCTGTATCCTCTCAGAGATTCACTTACTGGATGCTAAGCAGGGACCAGATGCACCATTAGGTGTCTCTCAGTCGCATTTTCTGCATAGTAGTGATTAAACAGAACACCTGTCATAATGGCCCCATGGGATGGTTGCTCTTCACTGTCAGCGTGACTGGATTTAGAATCACCTAAGAAATGCACTTCCGGGTGTATCTAATGGGGACATTTCTAGAGAGGGTTAACTGAGGAGGGAAGACTTATCATAAATGTGGGTGGCACCATCGCATAGACAGAGAAGAAAAGGGGAGGAAGAGGACTGAACGCCAGCATTCATCCCTGTCTTTTTCTGACTGAGCAGACAAAATGTGGACCAGCCACCTCACACCCCCTTCACCATCCTCCTCCATGACGCATGTGTCCCCGAAAACTATGAGCCAAAACTGTTCTTTAAGTCACTTTTGCCAGGGACATTGCCACAGCAGCAGGAAAAGCAGCGAGTGCACCACGAAGGTTGCCGCAAGCCCAGTTTTGCAAATGTGCAAGCTGGTGCAAAACAGGGAAAGAACTTGCCCAAGGACAAACAAAAGTAAGGGACGGAGCCAGGATTCAGACAATCTCTGCAGTATCCATGTACTCCCCACCCCCATCCCCTTAATCATTGCCATCCCTTGGCACTCGCTGCCACTGCTCAGTCCTTCATTTGTTTAGCGTACTTACTTGGTATTGGCTCTGACAGGGTCCCCTAGCACAGAAGATTCATGGCAAACGCCCCTTGCTTTAGGCCCTATCTGGGCCACCCAGGCTTAGCCTTGTCTTAGCTATTGGCTAACCCTGAGTGTACCCTCACAGTAACTTGGATTACTGCTGTGTTTTTGTGTTTGCGTTTTGTTCTGTTTGACACATTAGGAGATGATCCAGGGCCTTGTACACACTAGGAAGCACTCTGCCCTTGAGATCCATCCACAGCACCCTCTGCTTTTTATTTTGAGGCACGATCTCAATAATTCTACTCAATCTGGTCTTGAACTGCCCTGTAACCCCAGCAGGCCTTATCTTGAAATCCTCCTGCCTCAGCCTTCCAAATAATTGGGATAACAGGTCTGTTCGATTTGGTCCAGCCTTGAGCCTGGATTTATTCCTCTCCTGGTCTCAATGGACCCTCCTACATTAGCTACCCCTGCTGTCCTTGTTTGGGTGTATTTCTCTGGAGGCTGTCTTCCCGTCCGTGGTGTAATGAACAGATTACTTAATGGCAAGTAGAGGCTATCATCATTTGGCACTTGGTACAGTCAACTTTAGGTTGTCTCTCTAAAAGGGAGTTTGCTCATTTGCTCTCTTGGGAGTCAGACAGCCCTGACTACCCCCCCCCCTTCTGAAATAGGGTCTCACTATGTAGTTCTGGTGGCCTGGAACTAACTTCATAGTTTGACTCTGCCTCCGAAATGCTGGGAGAAAAGTGGGTGCTGCCATGCCCAGATAGCTCTGACTTTAATCCAAGCCTTGACCTTTACTCCTGACTGTCCTTGAGCTAATGGGGCTCCCAGCCTCATTACCTGTAATGTTTGCCTTAGTGATAGCAGCTGTTGCGAAGACTGACTAGAGTAACAGGTAATGGAGTTTCATACCTGGCTGGCAAGGGAGAGCCATAAATAGGTAACCATTAGCATCTCTGAAGCCCTTCTAATTCTGACCTGTGAATTTGCATATGCTTCCTCTATCTCCTAGAAAACAAGTCCTTGAAGGACAGACCTTCCTTCTGTTCTCTGCCCTGGGCCAGTTGCTGTGTTAGTCATCTTGAAGGTCCAGGTGAAGAGGATACCACAGTCTACCATTCCATCTGAAGGTCCTACCATGGGCTCCAGAGTCCCAGGCCACGGACAGAGACTGGGCTGGGAGAGCCTACAGCCATGGAGTGGGAAGGGAGCCAAGGAGGCTGGGAGCTATATGCTTCTTCAGCTGGGGCGGGAAAATGCCTACTGAAGTCCTGTCTAGGCTGGGTTCTGTTCCATCTGGGGCACAGAGAGTCTGTACTTTGGGTTGGTGATTCAGGCTGATGTGTTGATGGCTGAGGTACGTGGGGAAGAATGACTTTGATGGGAAACAGTCTCTACTGCTAACTGAGGTAGAAGCCTGGACTAATGTGTCAGCTTGGCTCGGGCCCTGCAATTCTTCTGTGGAGTCAATGCTCCTGCCGCAACCGTGATTTAGAGATGGACTCTGTGACCCTCCTACCCTTGTCTCTTCGGCATACCCTCTTAGCGTGCACCACCACAACAGGCATAAGCTTCAATCTGCACTTGGCTCTCAGTGGGACCTAGAAAAGCCTCAGCAAAAACAGACTGAGTACAACTCAGTTCCTGAAGTTGGGGTTCCAGGTAGAGTCACTTCCTTTTCCCTGCCCAGGAGTGAGAGAAACCCACCGACCTTGGTAAATGACAGGTTCTAGCTGGGAGTCTCCGGTCACCTCTAGAGTGAGCTTGGAGGCAGGGTATCTGGAGGCCTGGGGGCTGTGTCTTAAAGGCACGGAGGAGGAGGGGTGTATGGCTAATGGGAAGCAGGTGAGGGGCTGTCTGTGCCCCAGCCAGGGGACAGGCTGGCTGGGATGACCCAGCCGGTGGGAGGACCTGTCAGCTCACAGATAATCCCCTGAGACAGGCTCCGGGGTGACCATTCGTATTCATTATGTGTGAAGTGGGCGGTTGTAAAGTTAGCTTTCTCTTCATTCAGTTGTCGCTGGACAGAAAAATATGAGCTGTGGGCAGATGCACCTGGATGGGAGCCAGTAGCCAGCATCCGGCCTCCCCGTGCCCTCCCCGCAGGCCCTCTAAGCATTGCCCATGGCCTCTGTCGGCTCCACCGCTCTCTCGCTGACTTCATCCTGGACTCAATGTCATTTTCTTCTATCTGGTCCCATCCTTATGTCAGCTTCGTTTGCTTGAGCTTCACAGAGTCTCTCTACTTCTCTCCTTCCATCTTTCTTTCTTTCTAAACCAGGAGAAAAGAAAGTGCGTTTCTTGGCCACTGCTGTCGCTGGCATGGAGTAGGGAGGCCTTAGACATCTTTCTGCCTCTATGGCCAGTACCATCCCACAGACTGGGGTCCCAGGCTGCAATAAGAAAAGCAAGCCGAGCAGCAGCACACTCCCCTGTACTTCCTGGCTGTGAGCACAATGTGACAGCTGCCTCACGCTCCAGCTGCCTTGCTTCCTCCAACACAGTAGGAACTGGGCCACAGCCGAGAGGTGGTGGTGGTACACACCTTTAATTCCCGGCAGAGGCAGGCAGATCTCTGAGTTTGAGGTCAGACTGGTCGACAAAGTGAGTTCCAGGACTACACAGAGAGCCCTGTCTCTGAAACAAAACAACAACAACCAGAACAGAAGCCTGTGCCGTGAGCCAGAATAAATCCTCACCTACTTATACTTGCTTTCATTGGGATTTTTATCACAGCAAGAGAACCACCCAGGACAAATGGCTCTCTGGCTTTTGTAGGGTGTAAAGGTCAAAACAGCCCTGACCACTCCTTGAATGATGGCATTTCTAGTGAAGCCGTACGTCCCCTGGAATCAGAAATGGGGACTTGAGCCCCGATCCCCTTACTGACCAGTGGGTAAAAGTCTAGGAGGCTCACCAGTGAGTGGCAGTCCTACACAGGGCTCTCTTTCAGCCAGTGTCAGGATAGAGAAGAAGGAAGTTACCAGAAGCTTTCTCTGGAAAAGGAAGAGAGGAGGATCCATCTATGGGGCTGCACAGCCACCTCATGGTAACTGTCTTGGTTAGGAAATTCAGTCTGATGGGGGAACTTGTTCTCTCCTTGATAATAAGCATAGCACCCATGTGTCTTTGCATGCTTGGGTTTCTCTGTGCCTGAAAGATGAGGCGTGGGGTGGGGGACGGCAGGGCTGGGCTGAGTGGAATTCTTCAGAGCAATGTGGTTGTGTTTACTGGGAGGGTGGGAGGGCCAGGCCTGCTTTTTCCCTGCCTTCCAGGCTCCAGAGATAAGGCAGGGGATGAGGGGTAGAATGGGTAATACTCTAAAACCACAAGAAAGAGTTCTGGCTTTTGTCTCTACCCCACAGCTCAGACATGCTCTCTGGGGCATCTGGGAGAAGACAGCTGCCCCGCCCCCCAGCACTTGGGGTCCCAGCCCACAGGCACTCAAAACCTCCATAAGATCCCTGTCCTTCGATTCTCTCCGTGGTCACTTCAACCACAAGCTTTCCTCAGCTTTCTTACTTCTGTTCCCACCCCCGAATTTCCCTACCAAATAAATGAGGCCCGACGCATTAGAGCCTCTTGGGGTCTGCCAAAGCCAGTGAGCTGATGCAGGTGACAGAGCCAAGCATGGCATCCATTGACCTTGAGGGTTCTGTCACCGACCCTGCACCTTTTATTAGAAGCCCCTGGATTCTCGCTGCTCCACAGGAGGGCTTGGCCCAACCTAGATCATAGATACAGTTTAATCCTAAAGCAACGGAGGACCACGCACGCTGGGGACAGACAGCCGCTCAGAATGAAAAAAAAAAAAAAAAAGACCACTGTGTTTATTACTACAAAACAAAGGCATCTTTACAAAAATTGGGATCCGGGTCTCGGGGCCTCAGAGGCTGGAAAAATCTGTTTTATTTTGATCAACATCCAATCTGGTTTCTATGGCATAGTCCTGACCTGATTCCATGAAAACAAATCCAAATATTTAATGTTTGGTGGAATTTCTTCCCTGCCTCTTGGAGAAAATGACTCCAAGTATGTTGGTAGACTGGGCTGAGGGTAGAAAGATGTGAGGGGTGCTTGGGGCAGAGGAGACCCCCACCTTTTATCAAACTGACTATAGCCTTTTGGTCACATGTCAGCTCCAGGCGCTGAGCGGATGTCCCCTGGTGGCCAACCCTAAGTGCCACAGAGAGCACCTCCCTGCTTCAGTCTACCTCCTCCTTCCATCTTCCTGGACCGGCTCCCCGGATTAGAAACAGTCTTGAGGAAAAGGGCAGCGTCTGTCACCTTTCCTCTCGCCCAATTTGAATGAGGGGACCCAGTTTATAAGGCAGAGTCCTGCATGCGTTGAAGTCTCTTCAAGTCGTCCCATCTATTCTAAGAGATAAGACCCTGTAGCCTGTTCCCTGAAGGAGGCTGAGGGTCCCAGATTCTTTCCCAAGCTTCTGGAACCACCCATGATACGGAGGCAGAAGGGTTTGCTGTCTGGTGTTCAGGTGGAGATGGGCAAGGAGCAGGTGAGAGCAGGAAGAGGAGCAGCTCAGTCTGTGTCCGTGCAAGCCATCACGTGGTCCAGTTCAGCAGGCTGGGGGACTCTTTGGGCTTCACCCTGAGCGAGACAAGGCTTGGAGACTTGTAGTCACCATCCGGAGAGGGCTCAAAGCTATGTCCTCCCAGGGCAGGAGGAAAGCCATGGAGGGAATAGATGCCGGGGTGGGCTGCAGGGGAGGCTGGCACCCCCATGAAGCCAGCCACATTTCCATGGGAGTGGGAGTATGGGGACATGCATGGAGAGGGGATGCCCTCTGGAGACATGAGGCAGGGTCCCCCTGGGCTCCCAGACCCTGGACTGGGCCACAGGGAGTTCTGCAGCTGAAAAGAGAAGGGGAAAGAAAGGCTATGAACTGCTTGGCCCAGAAGCTGGCATCTTACCCTGCTGGCTCTCCCATTGTCTTTGAAGCCTCAGAAGCTTTCTAGAAGTCTCCACTAGGCCCAGGGTCACATCCCTCCTATCATCCATACTGGCATCCAGGATGTCCCCACCATGGCTTCTCAGAAACTATACTCTCTTCCTAATTCCTCCATGTTCTGTGTGTATCAGAGCAGGCAAGAGCCCTGCTCTGCAGAGGAAGAAATTAAATGATTTGCCCATATCACACAGCACCCAGATGCTGCAGGAGATGCTGCAGCTCCTCCCTCCTCCCTCGGAGCACATGTTCTCACTGGCAACCCCATAGATCAGGCCTTGTTGAAGGGTGGGGCTAAAGGTCTCACCTGAGGATGACTGTCAGTTCGGGGCAGCACAGAGATGTCATAGGCAGTGGTGAAAGGATTCCGCCCCTCCTGCATCTTCCCATAACGCTCCCGCTTCCGCCACTTGGCTCTGCGGTTCTGGAACCAGACCTGGGGACCATTGGGGAGGGTTAAGGGGTGCCAGAGCTACCCTGAGGACTAGAGCCTAATGGGTGAGGGTAATCACTGAGTCCTCTCCTGGGATCTAGATCCAAGTCAGAAAATCCCCAGTGGCAGGAGCGTAGAGAATTCTCACTGTTTCCAGAGCCAGTGGAGCCTGGGAGAGGCCCCATCCCAGAGCAGCACTATTGGCCCCCAGGGGCCCCAGCAAGCATTCCCAGGCTGAGTCACTTTCTTCGTTTCCATCCTGGCTAGGTCTTGTCACAGTGTTTGTTATAGGGAAAGGGGGCCTGTGGGCTTCAGGGGCCCAGGATACCTCCTAGGTGCACCGGTGTGTGGGTGTTGGAGTCTGGTTGATCCACCTTGCAGCATCCAATGAATTAAGGCATTCCCATTGAGGTAATGGTCCTGTCTAATCCCTCAGTGGCTCCCTGGAAGCCCCGGCCTAGAGCCCATTGCCCAGCAAGGCTGCTTAGGTCTCTGCTGTCTCCATAGCCTTCTGTCCTGCCATGCAATAGCACTTTGTTCTTCCTCGATGCCTCCCAAGCTCCCACCCACCTCTCTCTTCAGACACCTGCTGTGTTGTTCCTTCCCGCCTGTGTGTAAGTTCTCCCTTCCTGGACTGCCCATCTCTTCAACACGTCATCCAGTCTGGGTTCTTCTGTAATGTCCTGGCCTTCCTCAGTCTCTCATCACATTCTAAGCCCATGCTCTCTTTGGGGATCTACTTCTCAGTCATTTATGTGTTCTTGGCAGGTGAGGGATCATATGTCTTATACACATCTGAGCATACACGTGATGAATTTGGCATATACCCTATCCAATTTTTTTTAAAGATTTATTTATTATGTATACAACATTCTGCCTCGATGTATGCCCACACGCCAGAAGAGGGTGCCAGATCTCAGTACAGATGGTTGTGAGCCACCATGTGGTTGCTGGGAATTGAACTCAGGACCTCTGGAAGAGCAGCCAGCGCTCTCCAGCCCTTACCCTATCCTATTTTATTTATTTGTATTGGCATATATAATTCTATTTCTTTCATTTAATATCATGTCAGCTGTGGAATAGATGCTGGTGATATGGAAACCAAACCAAGGTGGGTGCAGTGGCGCATGCCTGTAATTCCAGAACTTGGGAAGCAGAGGCTAGAGGATATTAGGTGTTTAAGGCCAGCTTCAGTCACATACTGAGTTTGAAGTCAGTCTAAAATACGCGTAACCCTGCCAAAATTCAAATCCAAAACCGAAGTCAAAGCCAACCACACACAAACCAACCATTGTTTTCTAGGGAGCCATGTGGAGATAAAAATAGAAAGAGCAGTGATTGTGTTTTCTATATGTGTGTAAAACCCGGCCACCGTGTCTGGGAGGAGAACATCCTCAGCTCTTGTACGTTCCCTTCTCCTTGACCACCTCTACTCATGTAGGCCAGTGACCTGACAGCTAAGAGGCTGTGCATCCCCCAGGTTGTTGGGACCCCAGGGCAGGCCTGGCCGGGGTCAAGAGTGTCCACCATGAATGCCCTCCTCTCTCCTCTTCTTCCTATTCAGGCATTAGGCCTTTACTGGGAATTAGTCTTCTGTCACCGTCCAGTTCCCGCTGGAGCCTCTCCACTCTGGACCTCTGCCTGAGCTTGGGACTTGCCCTCTCCATTGTCACGTGTGTGGTCTTAATTAGTCCCCTTCATGGGGTGGGGTTTATGGTAAGTGTCATGCTCCTGTCAGAGAAGAACCTCCCCATTCTCTAGGGCCTTGGTGGTTGGGGAGGCTTCTGGGCTGGGTTTGGGGGTTCCGTGGGTCAGAAAGGCCTAGGAGCTGGGCCTGGTGGCTCATGCCTAAAATGTGTGTTATTGCCAGCCCCCAGGAGGCTGTGGTAGGAGGATCTTTAGTTTGAGGTCAGCCTGGGCTGTCAAATGTATCCTGGGATAGCCTAGGTTCTAGACAGAATGAGACCCTATTTCAAAAGCACTCCCCCCCCCAATTAAAACAAAAGAAAAAGAAAAGGAGGAAGAGGAAGAGGGGGAGGATCGTGGAGAGGAGTGAGGGAGGTGCCCCTGCCCCACACAGCACGCATTTCCACAGGGAAGAGCAATTCAGACACCACCCCAACGCAACATTCCAGAGACTCCCTGTTCTGGACTTTCTTAGCTTGTAAAATCTGGGGTTGTTTCCATAGCTTGAAGAACCTTGGCGGACAGTCATAGAAGACAGTTTTAGCTGCCACCTAGACGGGACAGGAAAGCAGGAGGACACGACAGGGAGAGGAAACCACTTGAGCCTCTCCGGTCCTATCTGGCTATCAGGCCTGCTTGATGGACCTTGCTGGCTTCTGTAAAGCAGCCTGTGGGGCCCCACTGTCTGTTAGAGTTGGTCCCTACCATAGCATCTTCTCGAGTCTCTAAAAGGGCCCCATCCTGGGAGTGATTAACAGGAACTTCTCTTCCCTCACAGAAGGAGAAGCAGATTCCTCTGCCAGGACCGTGATCTCACCTTTTTCTAGAACCCCAAACCCTTCTCTGCCACTGGGAGCCTGTTCTGATTAAACTGTGAACCAAAGCAAGGCCATGGGTGACCACTCTTCCTCTCGAGCAAGACTCTCAATGAAGGTTCTCTCCACCCCAGTCCTGCTTGTCACCTTCCTGTTCTCCATTGCTTCCAACACGTTTGGGCACAGCTTTCCTTCTCCCCCTTCCAGCATCTGCTCACCCTTCTCTCCCCCTTCTTCACTGCCTGGGTTCCCCACTATGTGAGGCAGTTGCAATAGCCAAAGGCCCTAAAGGTTTGTCTCTGTACAGAAGAGCCTGTTGAGGGGAAACATTCCTGGTTAAGTCCTCCGAGCTAGAAGCTGGTTGTTGGCTCATGGTGAGCCTGACATGCCCTGAAGTCACCTTCCCACCCTGGCCAGCCACCTCAGAAGTAGCACTGTTAAGTGTTCAGGACTCACTTCTTCCACCTGGTGGCCCTCAAATTCTCTGCCTTTCTACTGGTAATTCCTTTCCCAAAAGTGGGCAACAGAAACACCAAATATCTAGCCAGCTGGTAAATAACAGAGGAGTCCCAGGGACCATGGGACTCCAAGAGACCAATGCAAGACTATGCCTGAGCCCTAACCTAATGTAGTTCATTAGGAATAGAGAAAAGTCTGTAGCCACAGTAGAGCTAAGCATGAAGGGTGATCTCTAAAGGCCAGCCTCTAGGAAGAGCTGGGCAAGGCGACTCTGTGAGACACTAGTGCCCACCTCTCCTAGCCCTTCCTTGATCTGGTCCATGGTCTGAGCGACTGTGTCAACCAGAAAATCTGGTGCCCACCATGGCCTCACCTGTACCCGAGCCTCCGTCAGGTCCGTACGTAAAGCCAGCTGCTCCCGGGCATACACATCGGGGTAGTGGGTTTTCTGGAAGACTTTCTCCAGTTCTTCCAGCTGGAATGTGCTGAAGGTCGTACGATTCCGGCGCTTCTTGCTCTTGCTCTTGGCCAACTCCATGGAGTCAGGAAGTCCGGGAGAAAGAGGGACGCGAAGGCTGGCCAGGCAGGGACCTGGGGACCCTTGCACGTTAGAGGGCCCGTCTCTGGGACCTCCTCGGCAGTCCACGGGCAGCTGGGGGAAGCTGGCAACTTTGGAGGCCTTCTCTTCAGCTGCAATGGAAACACAAAAAGGAGGATGAAAACCTAACAGGGGGTTTTTGTGGGTGGAATCGAGGGAGGGCAAGAGCATTGAAGTTCTAGTCTCCGCCTCCTCCTCCTTCCCCTGCTCTTCCTCCTGGCAGCCACCCTCCCTGGGAGCCTGGCATTCAGAGGCCTGACTGTTGAGCCTCCAGCTGGGGAGGGGGCCCTAGGGAACTATGTGCTCTGTGGTCTGGGCAGATCTTCTAGGGCCTTAGGGGGGTTCATTTCGGGGAAGTGCTCTGTGGTGGTGTGTCCCACAGGGTGTGGAGGTGCCAGGATTGGCGCCACAGCAGGGACTGCCACCCTGGCAGGGCCAAGGGTGGGGGCAGGGGTTAAGGATGGGGTGATTGACATCTCCCACCCCTTTCTAGAGTGTTCTCTTGTTCTGGCTGGGCTGGCCTGGATTCCCAGGCCCTCCGGCATGAGCTTACTACCAGGGCCAGGCAGGCATGGACAGAGATGCATAGACCACCTTTGGCTGGTTTCTCCGTGCCTCATTCTCTGAAGTCCAAGTCTCACTGACATTAGTATTCACTTTCCCAACTCTGAAGTATGAAGAGCAAGCTGGTACAATGACGATTCCATAGGAATCATGGCTCTTCATTCATTCTAAAGCTGTGAGGTCAGAGCAAGAGCTTAGGGTCCAGCACAGAAAGATGGAGGCCAGATAGGCTGTGCTTTGGCGGGGTCCTGAGGGACCAGTACCACAACCCCCTTTCCCAGTTACCCTCAGCATTGTCTGCCGCCCCTCCCCCAAGGGGTGTCTGAGTGCTTCCTCATCACCTCTGTTAACAGGCCAGGCCGAACGGATCCCAGCAGCCTCCCTCCCCGTATGGCTGACCTGGCATGGTGAGAAACAGATCACCACAATCATCTCCCACCCTTTCCCTCTGGAAAAGACCCCCAGCGGTGTCCCCATAAAGTTCCTCCTAGACAGTCTCCTGGGATGGAAGCCACGACGCCACAAAGACGCCCTGCTGACTCAGAGGGCCCCTTCTTTGGCCCCAGGCCCATCTCCAATGGGGGCCTGGCCCTCAGGAGGCCTAGCTAGCTGGCACCAAGAAGCGTTTCTTCCTGAAGACCTAATGTCAAGATCCCAGCTGTAAGTGTGTGTGTGTGGAGGGGTACCCTGAATCAGATGAGTCCCTATCTGGAGGGCACTTTCAGCGGGAAAGTGGTCAGCGACCCCCTTGGGATCACCCAGACTGTGAAATAAGCTTTCCACGGGTGTCCTGAAGACCTGGGCAGTCACACCAGGCCTGGCCTCTGGCTACAGCAGCTTGTAGAGACAGTCTCCTTCATGGTGCTCAGGTCATGCAGTCACACTGCAGGCCTTACTGTTCCCCATCGTCACATCTTGCTAGGAAGGAGGAATCAAAAAAAAGTCAAACTACATCATAAAAAAATTGTCAGAGAGAGCCAGGAGCTTGGAATGGGTCACCCTGGAGATAACAGGACCCTCAAAATGGCCTGGCAGGGAAGAAATTTGTTGTCTCGGGTTCTCAGGAAGGTGAGGGTGGATTTCAGGCAGAAAATGGGTGAGAGGAACCGAGGACAAGGGCTTAGGAATACGTTAGCTAACCACCACAGAGAGCTCCCGGAGGTGTTCTGGTTCCTAACTCTCAGTGTCTGTTCCCTGTTCCCAGAAGAGCCAGCTCAAAGGAAATACTCCAATCTAGGGCCCAGCCACTTGCTTTCCTGATCTTGAGCCCATAAGCTGATAAAGTCAAGAGATCAAAACCCAGCAGAGCAGTTATCCCTCAACAGAGGCTAAGCCTGCTGGCCTCTGTTCCTCTCTCAGGGCCAGACAACTGCTGCCCCTCTTCATTACTCTTTCCCTCAAACCTCCCTGCTCTAGCTGGAGGACTCCAGGAACCCAGCCGCTTTCCAGAGCTTCCCAAGCAGCTTCCAGAAGAGTCAGGCCTAGGGAGAGCAGAGACAAAAATGGGAGAAAAGGAAAGGAGCCCCCAGGAAGGCAGTCTCAGAGTTGACGCCAGCAGTTCAAGCTTGCCTGGGGAAGGTGGTTCTGTCAAGGAACTCCTCTGAGGTTTGAACTATTGTCAGCTATTAGAGCACATTGGGGGTGGTCCAGAGACAGAGAACTCAAGTTGGTTGTTGGCCACTGGGAGCCTGAAGCTAAGTGTAAAGAGGATCCCGAGCCTGTGCAACTGCAGGAATGCAAAAGCCCTCTGTAGGAGTGAAAGCCAGGTGCAAGGACTGGGACCTCTGACATGCCAACAGGGGTCAGGATTCTTTATCTCTGACCCGGCCTTCAAGCATCCCTGACAAGGGAGAAGCACACCACAGCCCTACCACAAGCTGTCTAAAGTCACCTCAAGCTGGGTTGGTGAGTAGCATCCATCCTGGTGCTCCAAAGTCCGGATCGGTGGCACTCACTGTTGTCACAGAATCAGCCACCTGGCTTTCAGCTTTCACGGCAGCTTTGCGTTAAGATGCATCATTTTTTGTCGTCATGCTGGGGTCTCTAAATGGGTCAAGTAGTTTCTGAGCTTGGGCTTCCTCAGTTCTGAGGGCCGCTTTTAGGGAAGACCTTAAGTTCATAATAAGCACCTAGTTCAGGGACGCCAGCGACGGGGGTGGTGTTCTCCTTGGAGGTTCTTAGCCAAAGATTTAAATTCTACCCGGTCCGCCGGCCGGGTCTTGGGGCTGTAGGTCTCAACTGAGGCAGGCGGGCAGAACGCTAGCAGGAAACGTTTCCAGAGGATTCGTTCCCAGGTCAGAGAGCCAAGCTTAGGGACAAATTGGCAACCCTGGAAGAGCCGGAAGGAACCACCCCTGCACACATAGGTACCACCCGAGGAGGGTGGATGGGTGGATGAAAAGGACAAAACAAGGCCCGCATCGGGAAAAGGGCAGGATGCTCTTTGCAAAGTGCGGCGGGCCGGCGGGAGACAGCCGGGGTGGGGATGCCGGGTGAGAGAGAGTCAAGCTCCTAGCGCAACAACCTGGTCTCAGAAAAGACCAGCCAATGCTCCGAGACCGATAATTTAAAGGCAGGGACGTGTGTGTGTGTGTGTGTGTGTGTGTGTGTGTGTGTGTGTGTGTGGTGTGTAAAGTATCTTTACTAAGGATCCATGTGCAACGAAGACCAGAACCGAAGAGCTCCAGTCAGGGCGTCAGAGGGAGCAGCGGTCAGGACCCCAGCCCAGGCTCGAGCTTGCAGCGCTTCCTTTGCGTTTGGCCTGTCTCCCCGCACAACCCATATCCCAAATCGTTAGTTTTCGTAGCTCATTTGTTGTATTTGATGCGCGCTACCCCTTTAGGAAGTACTCTTTCTTTCTTTTTTTCTCTCTCTCTCTCTCTCTCTCTCTCTCTCTCTCTCTCTCTCTCTCTCTCTCTCTCTCTCTCTTTCTTTCTCTTTTTCCCGCTTCTTTCGATCTTCGGTTTGTTCTTTTCGTTCGTCCATTTTTTCTCTTTCGTTTCTCTGTCCACCCTGCCGATTGACTTAGCCTGTGACCTTTATTCTTCAACCTCTAATCCGTTGTTTTGTTCAAATTCCCTATCTCCCCTTCGGTTGTTGCTGGCGTGGTTTTACTTTCTTTAGCCTTGTTTCATCGCACGAACAGACTCGCCGCCCGCCTATGCAACCTCGCGACCACCAGCTTCTTGGCTGTCCAAGAACCCGAACAGTAGGTGCAGGATGCTGCGCAGCGGAGATCTGGACTGTGGGGTGGGTGCTGCTGGGTGCGACACCGATCCAAGCGGGTACCTGTCGCTGGCGGTGCTCTGGGCGCTGCGCGGATGCCGCCGTCTGGCAGGGATCAGAGGAGCCAGGCCAACTGCTTCTCATTAAGTCCCAACTGTGGTTTTTATCAGGAGAGCCTCTTTCAAAGGGCATTAGACGCGAAGCCTCAGCGGACTTGCTCATTTCCTTCGATGACCCCAACACACCTCCCGGGCCTCCCCTGCACACTCCCACCACCCGAACCGGACGAAGGCTGGAGCTGCTCGCTGCCCAGCTACTCCAGCTACTCGAAGAGCAAGCGATTTCCGCATGGGCGGATCTCCAGAGAGATCCATCTCAGAGTCTGGGCTGCGAAATGAGGCAGCATACAAGGGGTGGGCGTGGGCGCTGAGATTCTGGTGGGTCAGCGGGTACAGTGGGCGGCAAGCCAGTCTTGCTAGACCCGGCCGGTCAGGCACATTCTCAGATCATGACACGGGCCGACTCGCCTTAGCACACACTGCCCCTGGAGCGGGAAGCGCCCTAGGACTGTCCAGGGCCGCTTCCGACGGCTCAGAGGTGGCGATTCGGTGCCGGGATGCCAAGTGCAAGGAGGGCGGCCTTCCCCTTGACGGGAAGACAAAGTTAGTCTGAGAAACAAGAACATAATTATGCGGTCTTGACAATGGCCCCGGCACTGAAGGGGATCGATTGGCCACCTCCACTCTGCGGAGCGTCTAAGGGCAACGGTAACACCCTTTCCTGAAGAGGCTGGGCCCGACGTGGAGAGCTGGGTAAGTCCAGGCCGCAGCCCTTCGCTGGGTCCAACTTGGCCACTAAGTCGAGACCCAGCCTATGCGCTCTGTCAACGGGCGCCAGACACAAAAGCCGAGCTCTTCTCTCCCAGCGTCGAGGCCCAGTTAGACTTCCGGGCCCTCGACCCAGTCCCCGCTTCTGGGTTGGTGGCAGAAAGAGGCCCGATTAGGGATGAGCATGATCCCTCCTTTCATGTTCTGTCGCCTTCGAGGCCGGAATGGGCCCAAGATCGTCGCCACTCAACCCTTCTTTGACCTCCCGCCTCCCTTTGCTGCTGCTGCCGGGGACACAAGCGACTCTGCCGTCCCCAGCGCACTGGCCTTGCCTGCCCAGGCCAGTAGCGATCAAGCAAGGGAACCGTGGGAAATACGAGACGGGCCAAAGTTGAGAAGCAGAAAAGAGGGAGAGGGGGTCGGGGAAACCTAGAGGGGCCGGGGTGTAGGGGGAACGACACCGAGTCCTGCTGCGCTTTACCTTCCGCGGGGCCCTCGTAGAAGTGGCCGCCGTTGAGCACCGGGCCCGGCCCGAGGTCCTGCAGGTACTTGGCGGGCGGCTTGGCGGGCTCTGGGAGGTAGGGTTCCAAGGGCCCGCAGGCCGGGAAGCGGCTAAGCCGCTGGCCTCGGGGTGGTGCGGGGTGCAGGTGAGGCGCTGCGTCGGGAGTCCCCTGGGGGCCTGGAGGTTCGTCCCCTGGGGCCGCATAGGGACCGGCTGCCGGCCCCACGGAGAAGGGCGCGCAGCTCTCAGGGTCCATGCCGGCTCCGGGCTCACAGGCCGCCGGGGCTCCGGGGCTCCCGCTACCCGCGCGGCCTGTGAGCGCCTGCCAAGGGGGAGGGACCTGGGCTCGGGGGCGCGGAGCCCCCGGGAGCGGCGCGCGCCGCGGGGGGTGGGGGGCAGGATAGGGGGCCGCGCCTCTGACTTAATGCTGGAACCATCCACGTCACGTGCGGCCCCGCGCGGGTTAACCCCTCGGAGCCCAGGATCCCCCTGATTCACCCCGAGCCGATATCACAAGCAGTTGGAAGAGAGGAAGAGGAAGGCAGCTTCCTTTCGAGGGCAGGATCCCCTTTGTCTACCAGTCCGGGTGAGTTTTGGCTCTGAGCTGCACCCTTGAGTCCTGATATCCGTCTCAGTGGCTCTTGTCCCCAGAGAGGCAAGGCAATGTGGGTAGACGCCCTCCTCCAACATATTCTCTGAGATCTGAGTGGAGAGCCCCCTACAGTGGTTGAGTTACCCTTTATCTGAGTCTTCTGCGGGTGGCTTGGGGGGAAAGCAAGCACACCTCCCTTAGACACTTGTATTGCACAGACTTATGAGTGAGTGATTGGGCACTGAGGTAACAGCTCTAAGCTAACCGGGGCTTGGGGATCTTGGGCCTGGATACCATCCTTGATCGTCTGTGGCTCCTTGACCCCATCACTTAGTGTTTTCATCTGACTGTGGAGGTCCTTCTACATATTGGTGATGAGCTCCAAAGCCAGGCAGCAGACAGGTTCCCAGGGCTTCACCGCGGTCTTTCCAGGTAGCTCTTGGTGCAGGTACCAAGAAGAAGTAGAAGGGTCATTGTCCCTCTGAGCAGCGTGAAATAAATGCCTTTCAGTGTCCAGGGACCCACTGCAAAGGGACTATTTCAGGCCTGCTATTTTGGACATAGCGAGGGTAGGATGCGTTTCCCAGGAGGTGAGTCTCCTCAGCCCCAAGGAGACGTGGGATTAGAGTATAGTTTAGCTTTTCTGAAATAGAATGCTCTTTGCATTCTAAGAGTTGGAAAGAAATGCCAGACAGAGGTCCTTGGGACTCCAGTTTAAAAATCCCTTAGGTCTGGGTTAAACCATTTGTATTTTTAGTGCCCCTGGAGATTAGCGAGAGGGGTGGGGAGTCAGACGTCATTTGTATTTCATTTGAATTCTCAATTTTTAAAGGAATCCAAGAGGCCTGGTGTGAACACCTCCCTCTTCCGTTGGAGGCTTAGAGGGGGTTTCTTGGCTGTCCTCAGCCAGAGTTGGGCTGTAAATCAAGGCCAAACAGGAACCAGAAGCCTTGCATCTCACAAGGAGTCATTAAGCCATTATTAAACATACCATAACTTCTCTGAAGCCTTATTGGCTTAAACACCACATTGGAGGCATTACGGCCATTAGGGCCCCTAATCACAGACTGCAGGCTGGGCAGAGATGGGAGCACCTGGGGCTGCTATTTCCAGCTAGAGAAGCTTGGCTCAAAATGAGGTTTTCCCTCTGCCTGTACCGGAGGGGAGGCCACTGGATTTCAGTTGTGGACACCGTTGAATTGATTATTAATACAAGTTCTCAATACTTGTCAATTGGATATGGTTCATTGTCTAGGAGGATGTATCCTTTTAGGACATCCGATCAACAAAGTTACCAGGCAGCCTAATTAATTGATGACAGTGTGACCCAAGAAAAATGTCACTGACAGTTAAACAAGGCAGCCTGGATTAAACTCTGAGCCGTTTGCCTCAGTTTTCTTGTCATAGAAATGGGTCATACGTATATGGACATGGGGTTTGAGAAACACTCGCTTTTTCTACGCTACATTTTTAATTTAATGACAACGGTGATTTCTCAAGAAAGTGAGAAGCCCAGATTTCAGGGTTCTGTCCCTGAATCCGTGGAAGTCTGACTCCAGAAGGAATGGCCCCGGCACTAGAGCTGAACAAAGGAGTCTGTTGCCCCACAGACCCACCCCCTTCTCAGCCCAAGAGATTCCTCTTGATGCTCTTTCCCTCTGCACAGAGGCAATATCCATGCTGTGATGGTGTTACTAACTGAGCGAAGGAGACAGGAGGGCCCAGATGTCTCCTTGGAAGAGCTGTCTCTTCTGGAAGGGTTTTCTCCCAGAACTGTGGATAACAAAAAGCCCAGAGGAGCCTCTCCTGCTCTCCTCTGAATTACTGGTCCAAATGCAGGCCTCTGTCTCCAGTGGAGAACCATCTGATGAAGCAGGTGCAGAGATAGCACAGGAGAATGTCCAAGGTCTTAGTTTCTTTTCTAGGTGGACTGAGAGTTGGGGAGCCTTGGGAGACCCAGAAGCCCCTCATTTCATAGCTGTGTGCATGTACACAGTATGCTGGACTTAGCTTGTATATCCAACATACATGGCTTTACATATTCACAACCCATGAAGTAGGCACAATTATTTGGCCACCTTTTCAGAGTAAGGGAGCTGTTTGTTCAAGGTGAACATAACTCATTAGCAGAGGAACCAGAATTTCTTCACAGATCCATTCTTCCCACCCTACAAGTTCTCTATTCTTTTTAGCTAACAAAATAAGGTAGAAATCATTTTTTATACATTCTGTTTTCCCAGTGGGAAAGCTGGAACCTGTTGCCCAAAGGGAAGTTGAGACCAGATGGAGCAGAGCTGGTTTGAGACAGCTGCACTAGTGGCTTCGGAAACACCAATTGGCACCCAGCTATGGTGGCCAGAAAAGGCGAGGGAGCAGTGAGGTGGTTTCTGCTAAATGGAGACCAAATGAAGCACTAACACTTGAGTGTCTTTAAGGCTGATTTAGATGTAGGGCAGAGATTTGAGAGGATTCATGAATTCACCATTCACGCTGTTTTAATGGCCATTGAATTAATAGCGTTTGTTGCTGATCCATATTCAACAGAGTAAGAGATGAGCCCATAAATCATCCAGAGAATTCTAGGTCCTGTAATTAAGAAAGCAAAAAATACCACTTAATAAAACATTCTCCACTTGCCAAGTAGAACAAGTTTTAAAATGGAAATGATACTTTTATTGATGATTACTTAATTAATTCATCTCCCAGGGAGTCTGCAGGTGAAAGTTAGCTTACCAGGAGACAAAAAGGTCTCCTTGCCTGCACAGGGCTTTGTTGAAGTGCAGAGGGTCACTGGCATAGAAGCAAACCATCACTTGGATGTGAATCCATGTGGGTCAGTCCTGGCTTCTAACCCGTCTTCTAACCCAAGTGTAAGGTCAGCTCCTTGATTAAGGTAACAACAGTTCCAGCTACCTTTCCCCTTTATTTTCTTTATCACTCTGCCTCTACCCATGAAGTCAAATATCCTTCTGTGGATATCCAAAGGGAGCCGGAACAATGGTACAAATGGAACCTCACATTTGGGATTTTCTTAATATATACAAGACTGCCTTCCAGTTGCTTGTTTTTCCCTTGGAAGGGAAGACAGTCAGCATTGCTCTCGTTCTATTTAGACACTGAAATCCTAAATTGATCCTTATGAAAATTCTGGGTTTGGGAACCCAAGTGGATTGTTTCTCATTAACTACATTCTTCCTGGAAGGTCAGGCTAAGGAATGGTAAATAAACCTTAAGATCCGGTGTTCCTTGCCCATGGATGCTATTTTAAAGAAAGGTTTGTATTGTGGGAACCAGGATCCTTGACTGCGTTCTAACAGTATAAGCTGGATCCTATGCTTTAGGGTGGAATTTCTGGGACGTTTAAGGACTATTTTTTCCTTCTCTATCAGCTTAATATGCTCGATTGAAAAGCCATTTAACCTCTTCGTATCTAAGTTTCTATACTTCTAAAGTGTGAGGAATGAGGCTTTCCTGGGCTGGGAGAGCTAGTGTTTATACAGATGTTTCTTGAGCCTAGATCTACCTTTGAACACACACACATGCTCATGCGCGCGCACGCGTGCACACACCCACACCCACCCACACACACATCTATCTCACCAGGGTTAGGAGGAATGGGAGGAGAGACAGAGAGAGGTAGGAGGACGGCTGTAGGGTGCTGCGCCAGAGGACCTGAGATAGTGCTGCTCACTGGACGTGTTCGTGTGGAAAGAAATGAAGTCTCTAGCAAGTGCCCCCTGTAGACCCTGTTGCCACTTTGTGGAGGAGTTTTACTGGTGCATTCTTGGTATAAAGCAGAAATGGGCAGTTCTAGACTTTGGGGGGAGTTCTAACACCTTGATTGATCTTATGCAATGGTGTGTGATCATCAGACATGTGTTGAATGCCTGCCACATGACAGAAAGTGGGACTGCCCAGGGGATCGGGCCAGAAATGGTACCACTCACATCCGGGGCCTTTGGAGATGATTAGGAGAAGGATGCAAGGCAATAGGCTTTTGTCTCACAGAGTGTCAGTCATATTCAGGAAGCTGTAAGGGACTCACAAGACAAATGTCTAATCCGGTAATGGGGACAGCAGGGGACAGGTGGTCATGAGGTACTCTAAGGTTGAATCTAGAAAGTAGAGTGGAAGTTGCCCAAATAAAGGTGAATGGAGGGGCCGGAAGAAAGGGTATCCCAGAAAGAGCAGCTCCTAGGTGAGAGAGGAAGCCACTGTGGGGAACTCAGATGTGGTGAATATTGCTGGGCCTAGGTTGGAGCCACGTGGAGAAGGAGCCCACAGGATCTAGAGACACTCTATCAAGTAGGAGCATCAATCTAGTCCCTAGTGTCTGCTGAATACAGCTTCGAAAACCGTCTTCACTTACGGGAGGGGAAGAGGAGAAAGAGCCAGTCCTTGGGAATTCATTCTACCCCAAGGGGAGGGGGCACACAAGACTAGCGCCCAACCCACACTAAGTGGGCAGACAAGCAACGATGATAAGAAGAGTGAGAACAGAGAGCCAGAAAACACGCTCACAATGGAAGCCTTGAAGTGGAGAGATGAGTGGAAGGGCAAAGTGTGTGATGTGGGCTAGGCAGTCCCTCTGTGCAGCCTTCTGTGGCAGGATTTTGGCTCTCACAGAGGATGCTGGCTAGGGCACCCCTTGAACTCATTTCAGCAGGAAATCCATTGGTTCCAGAGTGCAGA